GTGCTTCTGGATCTCAATTCTAATTCACTGGTCTTCATGTCTATTGTTATATCAATACCAAGCTGTTTTGGTTACCCTGGCTATAGAGTAGATTTTAAAAGCTGGGAATGAAAAGCTTCCAACTTTGTTTTTGTTTCTTAATAGTGTTTTGTTTATCCTGGGTTTCTTTCCTTTCCATATAAAGTTGATGCTTAGTTTTTTCTATTTCTTTGAAGAATTGTGCTGGAGTTTGGACTGGAATTGCATTGAATTCTGATGCTATTGAGATTTTCACTATATTTAGTCTTCACATCCAGGAGCATGGATCAGTCTTCCATTTGTGTAATTTGTTTGTTTGTTTGTTTAGTTTCTTATAGACGTGTTTTATGGTTTTCTTTGTTGAAGTCTTTTGTTCCTCTGGTAAGATTTACTCCTAGATATTTTATCTTTGGGGCAGTTATTGTAAATGATATTATTCTTTTCATTTATTTTTCTTTAAATAAGAATCCAATTGATTTCTGTATGTTGATCTTATAACCTGCAACATTGCCAGGGTTTTCAATTAATTGCAGCAGTTTCTAAATGGAATCTTTAGGGTTTTCAATGTATAGTATTATATCATCTGCAAATAAACAGTTGGTTTTTTCCCCCTTCTGTGCCACTGTGGACGCCTTTAATACCATTTTGATAACTGATCACTCTGGCTAAGACTCCCAGGACTATATTAAGTAGGAGAGATGATAAAGGGCATCCCTATTTGGCTCCCATTCAAAGGGGGAATGTTTTCAATTTCTCTCCATTCAGTGATATGCTAGCCATTGCTTTTGCATCTATGGCCTTTATTGTGTTGAGGAATTTCCCCATGTTATTGAGTGTGGTTTTTTAAAAATCAAGAATGGATGTTGATTCTGGTATGAAGCAGGGAACAAATAGAGAGGTCCGAGGGGCTGGGCCCAATCCCAACTACATGGACTAACTCCTTCCCCACAGAAGAATTCACTTCAGAGGACAGCACTGAAGCTACAACTCAGGGAGAGGGACATGTCTGATCGGAGCACAAGGGAGCAAATGAGGGGGAGGAAGAGAGAGTGGAGCATATCCTGGCCTACCAAGCCCTGAGGACCATATTCCTGCTCAGAGCAGCCAAAGCACAGAGAGGTCCATAGGGCGGCCCCACTAAGAGACACGGCATCCCTCACTGACCCATAGCACTACAGGGGACAACACTGGAGGTACAATGTGGGAATTGTGTCTGATCAGACCCCACCACACTGAGGGGAAACACTAAGGGTGTGCAACAGAGCAGCAAGGGGAGCAGAGCAAT